AACCCCCCCCCCCCCCCCCCCGACCACCCCCCGCACCCCCCGCACCCCCCTCCCCCCCTCGCCACTCTGCCCTGCTGCTGCACGTCTGTGCTTTGCCCAGGTGCGGCTACACATTCGATGCAGCCACCGTCGCACATACCACTCTCTGGTACAGACAGACTGTGTGCGGATACCGGTAGACGGTTTGCGACACATGGTTCGGGTGGGGACTGTGATGGCTATGGCAGCCGTGGTGGCTGTGGTGGCCTTGGCGGCCGTGGTGGCCGAAGCGCGCGGAGCAGTGGTCGGCGGAGCGGACGACGGTGGAGAAGGCAAGACGGGCGAGGGTGGGGCCAGGAGAGCCCAGCATGTCATCGTGCTGATGATGGAGAACCACTCGTTTGACAACGTGTTTGGCTTCCTCCCCGGAGTCGGATCGCTCTCGACAGAGGTGTTCAACTACGTCGAGGCCGGCAACATGTCGTCGGAGCGTGTCAACGTCACCCGTGGCGCGCCGTACTGTGTCAAGCCTGATCCCATCCATATTGTGCCTGATGTCGGCGATCAAGTGACGGCGCCCAACTCGGCGTTTGGTCATGGCTATGCGCCTACCATGGGCGGCTTTGTGGAGAACTTTGTCCGCCGGACCAAGGCCACGCGTCCTGCCGAGGTCATGGCTGGCTACACGCCCGAGCAGCTTCCGGTCCTCTCGGCGCTTGCGCGCAACTTTCGCGTCTACACCCGGTGGCACTCGGCGGTTGCTGGCTCGACTGGCATCAATCGGCTGTTTGCTCATGCCGGCACGAGCGGATCGTACACCGGCGGTGAGTACGAGGCGCCGGGGCTCAAGCTCGAGGCGCCGACCCTGTTCGAGGCGCTCATGGCCGAGGGCGTGTCGACCCGGATTGAGTACGTCGACTTTTGCTCAGCCCATGCAATCAAGCCGCTCGCCGACAAGCACCGCCACATCTTTTCGCGATCGCACAAGCTGGAGGCGTTCTTCACCTCGCTCCGAGAAGGGACGCTCGCCAACTACACCTGGGTTGTCCCACAGCTTCTCCCTGCGCTTGACGCGTACCCGACCTCGATGCACCCATCCGGCGACATCCGTGCCGGCGAGGCTCTCATCAAGAACGTGGTTGAGTCGCTGATGGCGTCGCAGTACTGGAACGACACGATCCTCCTCATCACCTTTGATGAGCACGGTGGCTTCCATGACACCGCCCCGCCACCCGGCCCGGGCGTCGGCTCTGGCCCGGTCCCGGACCCCAACCCCGACATCGCGCCGCATCCGTACACGTACGACTTTACTCGCCTCGGTGTCCGGGTTCCGACCCTCCTTGTCTCTCCATGGGTCGACGCCGGCGTCGACGACACTCTCTACTGGGGCTCGTCGGTTCCGGCCACTGTGGCTGCCCACTTTGGGCTCACCTCGCCCCCGCTCACCTCGCGCATTGCTGCCGCACCGCGCTTCAACGTCGACCTCAGATCGTCGCCGCGCGCTCCTTCGTCGTATCCCGCCGTCCTCCCGGAGCCTGCGCCAGGCCCCTACTGCCGCATCCTCCGCAGCGATCCAGCCTACGGCGAGGAGTTCCTCAGCATGTATCAGACCCTCCTCGACGAAGCCGGCATCTGCCTCCCCGCGCACTCGCGCGATGTCACCACAGCCTACCAGGCACACCAGTGGCTCTTATCCGCCATCGCCGCCTTGTTCGGCCAGTGATGGGATGAAGCCCCTGCACGCCCCCTCTCCCCTCCCTGCCCGCGCCCCTGGTGAATTTTCAACACTCTTTTCTGTTGCACCGATCACCCGATCACCCGACCCTTCTCACCCTGCCTACTCTGCCCGAAGCAGTGGCCATCAAACAGTCGCCGGCCGAAACGGTCGCCGGCCGAAACGGTCGCCGGCCGAAACGGTCGCCGGCCGAAACGGTCGCCGGCCGAAACGGTCGCCGGCCGACAGACCGTTTGCCACTCGACCGACTCGGGGCCAGCGGCACCAGGTAACGCACGCCAACGACGACGACGACGACGACCACCACCACCCCGCCGGATACTCTGGTGTGAGGATGAGCTCCGGGTGGGCAGACGACTTTGAGCTGTCGCAGGATGATCCTGTGGACGTCCAGGTGGCGAGCCTGGTGGCAGCCTGGGACACTGGCGGTGGGCAAGGCGGAGCTGGTCGAGGCGCTGATGGTGGTGGGCATGGGAATGGGGACGGGAATGGGGATGGGGATGATCATCGGCCGGGCAACATCCACGCCGACCGCCACACCGATGGTGGCAATGGTGGTGGGCATGGGAATGGGCATGGGCATGGGCATGGGCATGGGCATGGCAATGATGATGGGGATGATGATGGCGATGGTGATAGTGATGGCGAGTACGAGTACGAGTACGAGTACGAGCATGTGAACGTGCCCGTCGACTATCCCTCGGACGCTGGCTTTCCGCCCGCTGTTGGCGCCAAGGGCTATCCGGTCTCCGACTCGGAGATGGACTCGTTGGATCACGAGCTGATGACGGCCAACGTCGAGTCCGACGGCACCGTCACTGCTAGGTGCAACGATGATGACCCTTTTCCCAACGAAGATACCATGCTCGACGACATCCGTGACATCATCGATGACGTCGAGCCGTCTACCACCGACTTTGATCCCGACGGCGACGCCAGCTCGGTGGCCTCGTCGGAAACCGTTGCCTGCGCTAGTGATGACTTTCAAGACCAACACGATGCCATGGCACTTCTCCGCGCCGACTCGGCCGTCGCTACCGACCGGCCGTCACTCTCGCCGCCTGCCCAGAATTTGGGTGGCGACGACTCGCTGCAGCTCTCGCCGATCTCCGACTCGATTCCGCCGCGGTACCAGACCGTCACCTGCGACATCACTGAAGTCACAGCCGAGGTGTTCGGCGACCACACGGCGTCGACGTCGTCGGACGACCCGTTCGAGTCCGACGACGATCCTGCTGCGCTCGAGGCCGCTGTTGCCCGTCGTGCTCAAGAGATCAAGAACGCACTCGGCGGGCACTCGCTCTTCTCCACTCGGTCGTCACCGCCAGTCCCCGGCCCGTCGTCGTACGTCCTGGCCTCGACCCTCTTTCCGCCGCGCGCCTCGTCGCTCGGTCCGGGCATCCTCTCGCCAGCCCCGCCCGATCTATACAATTCGTCGCTGTTGTCACGCACCTCCCATCACGCGCCATCAACAACACCGCCGCCGGCGGCAACACCTCCGCGGTCCGCCATCTTTTTCCCCCGCGCCGCCGCATATCCGAGTCGCCGCCGTCAGACGCCTCCCGATTCTCGTTCCTCACCTCTGTCCCGCCGCCGTCGCGACTCTCGCCGCCACGCAATGTGTCGGCGCCACCGCCACGCGCGTCGCTGTTTTCGGATCTGGACGCCACACGGCTTCCACCTCGTCCGCGCTCGCCGCGGCTCGAACGGAGCTCACTGCCGCCGGTCCCGCGCTCGTCAATCTTTATCAATCACGACGTCCGCTCCTCGCCACCATCGACATCGTCTTCTCAGCGAACGCAGCTGTTTGCCTCGCGCGAGTCGGTGCCACGATCTGTGGCTCCGTCGGCCGTGCTCGACACCGTCCCAGTCCGCGGTCCGTCGTCGCGGGTGGCAGTTCTCGCCGAGCCAGAGCTCTCCGACAAGGAAGCGCGACTGCTGGCTCAGCTCGAGGCGGCCCGGGCCGAGCTGGAGGCTGAGCGAGCACGATTCCGAGACATGATGATTCGCATGCCGCGCGAGGCGCTCGCGGCCCGGCTCTCGCCGCCCACCCTCGGAGTCGGCGACGCCGGCCTCGGCCTCGCCTCGCACCACGAAGTCGACCGCAAGCTCTCAGACGCCTGGTCGTCGTTCACGGGGCGATGACCGCGCAGCTTTGTCCTCACGCCTGCCATGCCGCAGCAGCAAGAGCCTCGCTAGGGTTTGACAGAGCCGTCAGGTTCTGGATTTGAGCCTGCGCCAGTGCGAGCAAAGCCGTCACGTCGGTCTCAAACGCCGCGCCGGAGACCTCGCCGGCACCCAGCACGCGCGACAGTGCCACCCGGTACGTGCACACCAGCATGTCGATAAAGGCAACCATCACCATCCGCACATCGGCAAGGTCGTCCTGCATCAGCGCCTGCACAGCCTGCCGCTGCTGGGAGAGGAAGAGCCGCAGGTGAGCGTCACGGCCACTGGCCGGCAGGCAGTCGAGAAGGTTAGAGACAAGCCGGACGGCAGCGGCGCCGTCGCGTCCAAGAATGGCGTCAACCTTGTCGACTTCTTGCGGTACCACGTCGAGCCGCGCGAGCGTGTCGACCGCCACCACAACCGGCGGGTAGATCGAGGCTACAGGCTCGAGCGCTTCCAGCACCGCAGTCTGGGTCAGGCCCGACAGCGTGGGCGACACCAGCGCCGCCCGCAGGTACAGGTCATCGACCACCGCAGGATCCATCGACGGCTCAAACTGGCGGACAAGGCGGTCAAACTGGACAAAGTTGATCAGCCCGTCCTCATCCGAGTCGAGCGTGTTGAACAGCTCGATGAGCGCCGCCCGCCGCTGCATCAGCACCCGCGAGTAGCCCTCAGCAACCTCGGCGAGAACCAGCGAGAGGGCGACCTGGGCGTGCATCGTCGGGTCGCCGCGAAGCACCGCGGTGGCCCCGCCCCAGTCCTCAACCTCGACCGGAAACGCCCGCTGCGAGATGCGGTCGACCATGGCCTGGACCACTCTGATGCCGCAGTGCCGGAACGCTGCCCGCACCACCTGTTGCACCAGTGCAAGGTGGACCCGCGCGTCTCCCGGCAGCACCGACGCGCACGCCGAGTCCTTCGCCACCGCTTCGTCGTCGCCTCCAGCGGCCTCCTCTTCGGCTTGACGCCGAGACACACTCCCACCAAACACCACCCCAAACGGCGAGTGGCCGATGCCTGCGAGCACCGCCATAGCTGCCCGGAACACCGCGTCCGAGTACCCACCAGAGAGGAACCGCATGAAGAGTCGGATGATGCCGTCGCGTCGCTCGCCATAGGCATCAACCGCCGCCAGCAGTGCAAGCCCAGAATCGATCGCGACCTGGCCCGACTGCTCACTTCCGATCAGGTGAACCAGGAGCTCCTCCGAGAATGGGCCGAGGCCGGCCATTGGGTCGATTTCCTCGCTGCGGACTGCCGACGGCGTCGACGCACGCAGTGCACGGTCTGCTGCGCCGTAGTAAAACTGGTAGATAAACTCGTGGAGCCACTCGACCGTCGGGACTTGGACTTCTTCCACCTCGCTCGTTCGCCACACCCCGAGGCCAAGCATCTTCTGCATGGTCTTATGTCGCGACTCGCTAGTCTCTCTCGCCAGGGACCGTGCCGAGCTGCACGACGAACTGGTGCTGGAGCTTGATCCCGAGCTGGAGCTTGAAGTTCCAGACGACCGCGGCGACGACTGCGAGCCGACCGCGGCGACGACTGCGAGCCGGGCTCGTTGGTCACACTCGAGTCGCCAACCCGGACCAGCGCCAGCGAGCCCTGGTGTTGCTGGAGCTCGACCGTGAGCGTGAAGCCGAGACCGAGGCCGAGACCGAGGCCGAGACCGAGGCCGAAATCGAGGCTGACTCGTACGAATAGCACGAGGAGGCTGAGCCCGAGCGTTTTTGCCGCTTCTTGCGGACTCTGATCCGCTTGCGCCGTCTTGGCCTTGGCCCTGATCCTGGTCTTGGTCTTGGTCTTGGTCTTGGTCTTGGTCCTGGTCTTGGGAACCGGCTCGGCGACTAAACCTGCCGACGACAACCGCTTGTGCAGCCGCTTCCGCAGCCGGCGCTTCAGTCGCTTCTTCAGCCGGCGCTTTGCACGTCGCTCCAGAATCTCGAGCACGCGCGCCTCATACGCGCCAAGCGCATCAGGCGAGAGATCAAAGTTTGAGGTCGAGCCGCCGTGTGTCCGTGTGTAGAGCAAGTTGCCAAAGGTCCTGTTCTGAGTCTCAAACGCGTTGCGCGGTGGGTGGATGAGCGTGTCGACCTTGCAGCTCTTTTCCTCAAATAGCTTGAACGGCAGCGAGGTGTCGACAAGTGTGGGGAGTGCGTCAATCTCGCCGTCAACGCCGGTCTGGACCGCCACCGTCTTGAGAAGTGCGCGCTTGCGGGTGTGTGCGGCGCCAACGCCGGGGCCGGGGCCAGCGCCAAGTACCTTGTCCACAGCGGCCTGAAACGCCGACGCCCGGCGGCCCTTGAGCCGCGCAGCCTCCTGCAGAGCAGCATCAGTGTCAGCGTCAGCCTTGACCTCGCCGCCTGACGCTGCACGCGCCATCATCGACACGTGCAGAGCACGCTGCGTCGCCGCCAGCTGGCTTTTGAGCTTGTTGGCCTTGTTCGTCAGTTTCTTTTGGACCTTGAGCGAGCGCAGCTGCTCGGCCTGGAGCAGCTGGCGCTCAAACTCGAGCTGGTGCTCGAGCGAGACAATGTTGGCTTCGAGCTCGCGCTTGGCTGTGGTCCACTTGCTAGCCTCGGCTTTGAGCTTGGCATGAGACTCGGAGGCCGTGAGCATGGTCGACTTGAGCTCGTCCACCTTGGACTGCCACTCCTCCAACTGCGAGGCCAGCTCAACCTTGTACGCCTTTTCCAGCCGCATCTGCTCCTGGCGCTCTGAGACGTCAGTCTTGGTCTGGGCATTGAGCTCACGCGCTTCAGCAACCTCGCCGCGCATCGACGCCGCCTGTGCCTCCAACTGGCTCACTCGTGACTCGTAGACATGGACAGCCTCGTCCAAATTGGCCTGCAGCGCCTCGATCATCGAGTTGAGCAGCATGCCGCGTGACCAGTCTGACGCGGCGACCTGGCGGACCATCTCATGGAGCGCAACGCCATAAGCATCGCGCACCGCGGTCAGCCTCCCGAGCTCGTCCTCGGCATCGCCGACGTCGTCAAGCTTGGAGCCACGCTTTCCACTCCATTCAGCCGTGGCGTTCGTCACCATCTTCTCGAGCGCGTCCGAGAGAAAGCCGACCTGCGCCGGCGCCGACGGGTGCTTAGCCGGAAAGGCGACGACATGGTACTGCGAGTCGGCAAAGTGGACCTCGTACCGCTCGTCGTACTCGACCGGCCGGATGAAAAGATGCTTGACCACGTGATACCTCTCGGGAATGCGCGACGGGAGCGAGAGCATGAGCTTGGCCTGTGCGCCTGGGTCGGCGGCGCCCATAGACGAGGCGCCGAAGTTGAGCTCTTCAGCGGCATCAGTTTCGGCTAGCCAATCCGAACTTGCTGCCATATCAAAGTCGATGTTCGAGTCGAGCTCACTAAACGCGCGAGGAGTATCATACATGCCCGACTTGCGGCGCATTGCCTGGAATCGCTCGGCTACCGACTCGATTGAGAACTCGGAGCCGCGGCGGATGCTCGAGGTCACCGCCACCGACGACCGCCGCGGACTACTGGACTCGAGTGTGGCTTTGCGAGACTTGAACGAGCCGAGACTTGCGCGGACTTTGCCCCATGACGACAGCGAGCTGCGCGACACGGCCTGCGACTCCGTCTCACCGCCACTCGCGTCATCAGGCATCGCCACCGAGGACATCGACGACGACAGCGGATCGGCCTTCTTCTCGCCCCACGGCAACAAGCTCTTGTCGGTGCTCTTGCCGCGGGCAGAGAGGGTGACCACTGACCGCCGCCGTGGCGACGCCAATCGGTACTTGGCCAGCGTCTCATCGTCGAGACTGGTGTCTGCTCCCGCGTTCTTGCCGCCCTTCGACGACGGCGGCGAGCCCGGAGGCGAGCCGCCCGACACCGACCGCTCCGTCAGCGGAGTCAGGCCCGTGCGGACCGCGTCGCGGCTTCTTGCCTGCGACCGGCTATGAGACGACGGCGAGGATGGCGGCGAGCCCAGCGACGGTGGGCCAGGCGAGGGCGGTGTCCGTGGCGACACTGGCGGCGATGGCGACGACGGCGACAACTCGCGCGCGGCCGCCCGTCGCACCGCCCGCTGCAGCAGCCCAGTCCGCAACGAAGGCACTTTTGGCGACGAGTTGCTTCGCGACCGTCCCGCCCCCACACTCCGTGCCCGCTCATGTACACCTATGTTTGCGTGGTTGGCCGGAGGTGTGTGTGTGGTGACTGGGCGTGGTGGAGGAAAGGGGCAAGCGGTGGCGCCACTCTGGCGCTGTTGCTGTTTGTTGATCAGGCGCACCCGACCCGATCAACCATTTTTTCCCACTTTGGCGACAGCCGACTCCGACGGCTTTTTCCTGAACGCTTTTGATCGATCACGCCAAACAGACGCTCACTTCAGCACACCACCCACAGAGAGAGCAAGAGAGAGACCGCCATCATCGATGTCGTCCTCAGGCTATCAGCTCGTAGCACAAGACGAGAGTGCGGGCAACGGGGTGCATGGGTACGAGCCGCCCCCGCCTACCTCCAACGGGGAGCGGGACCAGGCTCGGCACGGCAGGCGGGGAGCGGTGGGGAGGGTACGGTCGAGTGCCCGTTCTGCACATGCGTTCTCCAGCGACCGGCTGGCGCTCTGGTTGTCCGCTGCGGTGTGTGTACCAATGTCATTAGCCTCCAGTCAGGGCATCCTTCCCCGGTCCCTGGGGCGGTGGTAGCTGGGGCGCCTGGTCAGCCTGCTGGCGCTGTATCGTCGCCCTCGGCCTTGGCCTCGCCACCGCCGCTCCAGCCGCAGCCGAGAACACGGCCACTCCCTGCTCGTCTCAAGACCATCATCGTTTGTCCTCGCTGTGAGCTCCATCTCGCCCGTCCTCCGCCCTCCTCACCGGCATATGTCAATTGTGTCCGCTGCGGCATCGCCGTCGACTGCCGCAAGCCGTTGCGCTCCGGCCTGCCGCGGGATGCCTGGGCGCCTGATGGCACTCAGATTCCCGCCGGTCTGCCTGTCACCCTCGCGCCGGGATCGGCTGCCCCTGTTGCGGTCTCGTATGCCGGCATTTCGGGCATCGTTCCGGCAGGCGTTCCGCCGCAGATGGGTGTTTCGGATCCTGCGGGCGTTTCGGGTCCGGTTCCGAGCCAAGCTGGTGGGGCCCCGCCTCTTCCGCCGCACTGGGAACGCAAGTGGGACGCAGAGCGCGGCCGGTACTACTACGTCAACCATCGTGATCGGACGACGTCGTGGACGCCACCGGATCCAGAGCTCGAGGCGGTCATCGCAGCGTCGCTGGCAGAGACTACCGGGGCTAGCGGCTCGACCGGTTGTGACTCGGGCGGCAGTGCTGACGACGATGATGAGGAGCTGCAACGGGTGCTGGAGCTGTCACGGCTGGAGGCCGAGGCGGCGGCGGCAGCAGCGGGTGCGGCGGATGGCGGCGATAGCTCCGGTGACGAGGTATGAGTCGGGGCCGACTCGGCGGGTCATGTCGGGTGTGTGCCGAGTTTACGGGTGACCGGTTACACGAGTACCAGGTCGGGCAAGCGGCACATTTTGGCGGCGACAGTGCCGGCCTCTTTGGTGACGACGATGATAAAGTTGCTCATGGGATGGACGTACCAAACGGGAGCATCCGAGACGTGCAGCGAGAGCTTGGGCTTTTGGCCGGAGAGCGAGAGGTTGGAGACGTCCCAGAACATGACGTTGCCGTCCCAGCCGCCTGTGAGGAGGAACGGGGTGGAACCGCGAATGAGCCAGCAGACTTCAGAAACGACCGAGGTGTGCGCGTCAAAGACAGCGACCAGGCCCGGATCACCCGGCGTCGTCAGCGGCGAGTAGATGCGGGCTTCGTCCATGTGGGTGGCAAGGGCGAGGAGTGGGGCGGGACCGGCGACCGACGGCGGCGACCAGGCCATCGACGCAACGGCGCCGTAGTCCATGGCAAACTCGATCAGGAGGGAGAGGCTGAGCGCGTTGACGACTGGGACGGCAGTCGGTGTCGGCTCGACGAGCTGAGCACATGTTACGATCGGCGGCGAGTCGAGCAGAGTGAGGTTAAGAGAGTGGAGGGCGACAACGCCGCCTTCTGCGGCGACAGCGAGCGTCGGCTGGTCGCCGAGCTGGACGGCGACGGCGGTGATGGCAGCGCCGAGCACGGCCTGGGCCGAGGTCGACGGGCCGGTCAGCCGGGCGATCGGATCGCGGCGGTACCAGCGGAACTCGCTGACAGTCGGCGTGATCTCGATTTGCGAAGAGGTGGAGACCCAATCGCCCTGGAGTGAACCAGCCATGGCGGCGTGGGCGGCGGCGTCGAGGAGGGTGAGCGACCAAACAAGGACGGCGCCCGAGGCGTGGCCGGAAAAGCCGAGCGAGCCGTCGTCCGAGACGGCAAGCGCAGTGACTGCCGAGTTCTCGACCTCACCGTCTTTGTTGAGAAGAAGGCGGTCGTAGAGCAGGTCCCAGCCCGAGGTAAGTAGCGAGAGCTCGCCGTTGTTGGTGCCGAGGAGGACAAGGCCCTGGGCCGATGCCTGCTTGGCGATTTTGCGGAGTGAGAGGACCCACTTCGAGGTAAGCATCTTGGGGTTGGCAAAGTCACCGAGCGCCATCATCATCGACATGGTCTCGTCGAGCGGGTCGAGGCCTAGAACCTGGGTCGGGCGCGGGAGAAGAGCGGCGCCGCGGGCGCGCCACAGATGGAAGCAGTCGCCAAACTGAACACCAACGACAGAGATGGGCATTTCGTCGTCGGCAGCACAGAGAGCGTCAAACCACTCGGAGCGGGCCACAATGGTGACCAGTGGCGGCGGGAGCTCGGCCGGACCCGTAACCTGGACCATCGACGGCGGGAGAACAGTCATGTGCCGCGACTGGCGGCGCAACATGTCGAGCTCGACCTCGAACGATGGCTTGGTGTGTGAGGAGTACGAGTGGTGGCAGGTGGCACACAACAGGTTCCCCAAGATCCCGAGCCCAATCGGGTTCCCGCCTGCGCTGCTCTCGACAAGTGTCGGGATGCTGGCGTACTCACCGAGCCGGACGTCCCATCGGTGGGGTGGATCGAATCGACCACAGAGGCAGTACTCGGCAGTGTGCGGCTTTCGAGAGGTGGCAAGGACGGCGACCATTTGCTTTCGTCGGGCGTGCTCGGAGAGCTGGCCGTCGAGGTCTGCGCGAGCAATGGCCTGGAGCGCGTCGTCGTCCTCGTCGTCCGATGACTCGACCTCGATCTTGGGCGGGGCTTCGGCCTCGCGTTGTTGGGCAATCATCTGTGACATAAAGTCTGTAGGCTCGGCGGCAGCAGCAGCGGCAGCGATGTCTTTCTCGACGTGCACGCACCGGGCGTGAGTGGCCTTGGCCATCAGGGCGCGGGCTTCCTCATGAGTAGGATCATACGGCAGATGGGCTTCAAGCGGGTGCCGGCAGTTGTCGCGCGAGCAGATGGGTGCCAAGGCGAGGTAGGACGATGGCGAGACGACGCGTGTCGGAGGGAGAAGTACGCCGGCGGTGCAGTTGCAGAAGAGGTACGAACAGCGGTTGCCCTCGGCAGCCTGGGCAGTCGCGGTCACAGCGGCATCGCACGGAAGCTCAACGCGGTGAAGCGCCTTGGGATGGCTACATCCAGCGCAGGCCGCATCGTTGTTGCTCGAGCCACCCGAAGCATACACACTGCACGAGCAGCCGTAGACCCGGCACGGCTCCGGGTAGCGCTCGTTGGCGGCGCTGGCGACCAGCTCGGCGCACTCTGCTGGGGAAAGCACGTCGGGTGTAACATGCAGCGCCTCGTGATGGCCGCACTGGTGGCACAACACGTTTGTGGCGAGGCCAAACGAGGTGAGCTTGACCAGGCCAGCGCACTCACAGCCGAAGCGGACACAGGTGGCCGGAATGGTGGTTGATGTCGGCGGGGAAGGAGCGGCGGCCGGAGCCATGGCGAACCGCTGACCGGCAGGCGCCTTTGCGCCAGCAGGCAAGCCACCGTAGCCACCGTACGATCCACCGGCGCCACCCGAGTACGAGGAAACCGGCGCTGGCTGGCCGGCGGCGCGCTGCGGTTGCGCCGGGGCGGGCGAGGGCTTGATGGGCACCTCTGCAAAGACCGGCTTGCCGACAGACGACGCCAGTGCCGGAGTGCCGGGACGAATACTGGCATCGGGCGGAGGCTGCGCGGCGGCGTAGCGCGGGCGCTTGGCCGCCACCGGGAAGCGGGCCGGAGCCGCTCCAGGAGCGGGCGGGCCGACAACCGGTGCTGGGCCCGAGAGCGAGGCCGAGGCTGGGTGCGGCTGTGTAGAGTCGTCGTCTCGCTTCCGCTTGCGGCGCGAGTCGAGATGGACCGACGGCGAGGCCGAGCGCGAGCGTGTGGGAGAGGCTGTGGCCGAGGTCGGCACTCCGTCGCCGATGTCCATGGGCAGGGTAGCGGTAGCCTCGTCGTCGGACTCGGGCGACTCGAGCTGCGCCTCAGACGACGACGGGGACGACGACGACGCCCGCGGGGCGTACCCGTTGCCCAAAACAGAGCCCCCATTACCAGGCGGTACAGTCGGTGGGAGCGAGTCGGCCATGCCCCTCTCCAGCTGCGCGTCCCAGTGCGGTGGTGACGGACTGGCGTCTGCTTCCGATCGCCGGCCGATCGTGATCAGCCGGCCGTCCCTTGAGGGGAGGGGGGGGAGGGGCAAGGGCAGTAGCGAGCGATAGCAGGCAGTGAGAGGAGCGCGAGTGGTATGATAGCAAACTAGAGCGTATGGAGCATATGGCTATTGCCTGTGTACGGCTGTGTGCGTGTGTGGTACGACGATGGCGGGAAGCGGTAGAAGGTGGATGGACGGCGGTGGGTGTGGCTGCGGATGGGGTTGGAAAAAGGTCGCACTTTGGCTGCCGGCGGCGGCAGCGGGCGTTTGGCGCGCACCGACAGCAGACGGAGAGAGGGGACCACCTGACTGACTGCACGAGACGAGGTGGAAAGGGAGCAGGGTATGGAAGAGGTACTTGCGGCAGTGTGTGGCCGGCGGAGAGTGAGTGTGTCTGTGGTCAATGCCGAGGCAGCAGCGTGTGGTACCGAGGGCGTCCGAGCCTTTGCACGGTCACCTGCGGTAGCTGATGAGGCTCGTCGGCTGGCTCACCTTCCGTCGGCATCGTTTGACATCAACCACGAGCACTCGGCGCTGTGGGATGTCCTCCACCCGGAGAGCAGCATTCGGAAGGCAGTCCTTGTCCAGGGCCCGACACTCGACCTCTTTGCTGCTGTCCAGCAGCCGGGCGTGCTCGAGGCCTACAATGACAGCCGTGCTGGCAACGGCCATGGGGCTGGTCGAGCGGCATCGTGGGAGGTGGGCATGACCGGCATTCTGCTGGATGCCGCCCTGCAGCTGCGGACCGATCTGGTGGCACTAGAGGCGTCGTCATCGGTGGCGGTGGCCATGCCCTCGGTGCCTTCGATGGATACGCCGACGGCGGGCGGAGAAGGAGTGTGTGTGGCTGGCGATGGCGACGAGTTGGCAGACGGCTCGTCGATCTTTGCCTTTACTCCCTCGCCCGAGGCGAGGCCCGTGGGGATGCGGACGCCGTTGCGAGCGGCGAGGCAGACGCCGGGGCAGTTTCACACGCCGGGCCGGAAGCCGACGCCTGGGCGGTCGCCCGGAGAGTCGCCGGCGCGGTCGCGCATTAATGTCAAGCCGCAAGTGCGCGGGGCGATCCGGCTGGCCAGCGCGTGGCGGGTTCCGCCGCCGTCGCCAGACGCGATTCGAATTCTCAACACGCCCGAGAAAGCGCGGCCGCTGGCGGGCCCGCTGGCGCGGGTGCTGGACGACGCAGCGGCGCTATCGCCTATTGGGGCGGCGTCGCCGTTGGGCGGCGGCGGCGAGCACTATGTTTCGATGGAGAGCTCCCCGATGCTGGACTCGCGCGAGTATGCCGAGGCACCACTTCCGCGTGGGACGCCTGTGAGCACGCCGCTGTCTGCCACGACCTCGCTCGCGCTGCACTACCTGACCAAGGCGTGGAAGTTCATGGCCAAGCTGCCGGCCGGCTCGCGGCCACTGGGCAAGGCGCTCACGCCGCTGGCGCCTTTTGTGGGGAGCGACGGCACGGTCTTCCGAGGGCTGCTTCTCACGTGGACGCCGCGGGTGTTCGAGGCGATGGCGGCGGCGCAAGAGTGCAAGGACGCGGCGCTGGTTGACCTTGTCCGGTCGCAGCTCGAGGGCCAGGCAACAGTAGTGGCGACAGTGGGTGAGGCGGGCAAGCTGTTTGTGGCGTCGGCACCGATCCACGACGTGGCCAACCCGCTGGAGGACAGCCCGGCGCGTGGGCGGCTGCCGGGCTACGGCCTGCGTGTCCGGCTCCGGCCGGGTCTCGGCCTCGGGACTGGGAACGAGGTGCTCATTCCAGTCCACGTAGCACGGCGCGAGCTGCTGCGGCGCGACGTGAACCCCGCATTTGCGAGCTTTTGGGAGTGGCACCCGCACACGCTCTGAGCTCAAATCAGCGGCGCATGTTGTACTTGCGGTAGTTTGCGGCAAAGGCCTCGTCCGACGCGCCGCCGGCGCGGAACTTGTCCCATGCCTCCTGGCGCGGATCGTTCGGCCGCGGCCGCGGGGCCCGCCCTCCGACCTGCCCGCGGTCGGCGCCCTTGCGCGGCTTGTCGCCAAACTCGGTGTATGAGCGGTAGCGGCGGTAGCCGGCAGCGCGGTTGGCAGCGCCCGGGGTGTCGGCAACCTCGACACCGCCTCTGCGCTTGCGCCACGCCCACCGCTCCGCCTTGACCTTTGCCAGCATGTCCTTGCGGGCGTCGGCAGTCGCCTGCACGTTGCGCAGCAGATGCTCGGCCGGCAAATCAACCTCGACAATGTTGGTTAGCGAGAGCTTGGAGGCGAGCTCATCCTTGTCAGCCGTGTCAGCCCCGACCAGACCAAAGCCCTTGCGCCGCTTGGCGCCCTTGACAATCGCCGTCAGCACGTTGTCCTTCTCCTGAATCCGCAGCGTCTCTGGCACAGCGTAGATGTCGTCGTCGTCAGCGGGGCCTTCTCCGTCATTGCCCTCCCCGCCTTGCCCTCCGGCACCTGCCGTGCTGGCCCCTCCCCGCTCGGCCTCCTTCCTCTTCCGCATCTCCTCCTCCACATGCTTGTGCATGAGCGAGTCGACAACCTCTGTCGACTCTGTGGTGAACTGCGAAGTGAGGCCGGCCTCATCAGCAACCTTGCGCATCTTCAGCTTCCTCCTCAGCTCCTTGTCCGCCTCACTCCCTCCGGCACCGCCCACCAGTCCGTACTCGGCCTCGTCTCCACCGGCACTCCCCGCCACCACGCCCGACGCAAACGCCGCCAGTCCGCCTCTTCCGCCACCAGGCCCATGTCTGCTGGCCTGTCGAGCAACAGCCGCCACGTCACGCCCGCTCCGCTTGCGCTTCCGGTTGCCGACACCGAGTGTCAGAGCAGATGGTGGCTCTTCTGTGGCAGTGGGGGAGGGGCGGTGGGTGTGGTGGTGGGAGGGGCGGTGGGTGTGGTGGTGGTAGCGGTGGGCGTGGTGGGTGTGGGCGTGGGCGTCGGCGTGGGCGTCGGCTCCGGGCGGCGGCGTTTGTTGGCTGTCGCCTTGCCCTTGCGCTTCTTGAACATGGTGGGAGTGGGGTGGTGGTGGTGGTGGTGGTGGTCGGTGTGGTCGTTCGGGCAAGTCGCACTACGGCGACGGTTCGGCGGTTGCGATGGTGCGACGGTTCGGCGGTGCGACGGTGAGTTCATTCAAGATCAGCTGGTGAGCTTTTGAGGGCAGACGAGTTGGATCGCTTAAAGTCGCTGGGAGTGGTAGAGGAGAGCTGAGAGGCGATGACGTTGATGGTGGGCCGGGAGAGCTCATCAGCATGCCAGCAGCTGTTGATGATGTCGCGGAGGAGGGGCGAGGGGATGACGGCGGCGTCGATCGGCGGCCGGTGCCCACTGGCAATGTGGTAGCCGACCTCGAGGGCGTTTGTGCCAGAAAAGGCCGGGCGGGCGGTGATGACCTCGTAGAGGATCGAGCCCAGGACAAAGATGTCGCCCTTGCGAGTGCCAGGGACACCGGCCAGGTCCTCGGGAGACATGTAGGCGATGGCTGGGACGAGGGTCATGGTTCCCATCGAGGCGCGGATGCCTTGCAGGCCATAGTCGACGAGGTGAGCATCGATGACGCGGCCCTGTGGCCGGACAAGGAGGATGTTGGACGGCCGGAGTGAGCCGTGACCGGCGCCGAAGCGGGTGTGCAGCTCGTGGAGCGACTTGGCTAGGCCCACCATGGCCAGCCGCGTCTCGGCAGCGGTCAGCATCCGCGAGCCTGTATCGATGTTGACTGCGTTGCGGAGCGAGAGGCCCGGGTAGTAGCGGAAGACAAGAGCGATGTTGGGCCTGCAAAAGCACGCCTGCTTCGGCCCTACCAACCGAGAGCTGGCCGCCCGCGCCGCCCGTGCCGCCAGAATCGCCACCCGCAGCAGCTCGGCCGGGCGGAACTCTTGCCGCAGCAGGACTTTGATGACCACAGGCACGCCGTCGAGCGTCGCGCGATGGACGTTGGCGTACGAGCCAAGCCAAGTGTGACACGAGGTCTCGACGTGCCGCCGCAGCACGGCTCCGGGCACCAGCCACTCGGCCAGGACCCGTGACTCGCCACAGAGTGACATGCTGAGGCCCATTTCCGGAATAATGTCCTCTTCGAGAGGAGCAATCTCGGCAGGCGCACGCGCGCTTGCGCCAGCCTTCTTGTCTCGGCCCGCGGGCTTGCGTTCAGCATCAGGCGCCCTGTCTGCCTTTCTATCTAAACCCACATATGACAGCGCATCCAGCAGCTGTCCCGTCGATGATGACGACGAGCGCGAGAGCAATGTCGGATGGTCCTGGACTTGGCCTTGGCCTTGGTCCTGACTGCCGTCGTCCCTGTTGGGGTGCGCGAAGACACAGGCTCGGTCTGTGCTTCGCTGTTGCCATCTTGCGTGGGCTTGGCGGCCGCGAGCATGACCGGATACTCCTCGGCCGAGGCCTGGCGACGGACTTCGCGCGGCGGCGGCAGAGCAACATGGTCGACGACCACGCCTGACGGAGAGCTCGAGCTCGAGCTCGTGATAGCTTGTAGAACAAGGGCATCAGAACGCGACGATGTTGCGGTTGGCGACGTCGAGGTTGACGATGTTGTTGATGATGAAGACAACGACAGTGACGTAGAGCTAGATGATGAGAGCGACAACGTCGATGAGGCATGAGCCTGTTCCGAGCGCTTGGACTTGCGGCGGCCGTTGCGGTGTCTCTTGCGGCGGCGCGAGGAGCGACTGGTGCGCGAGCGGCGTGACTTGCGGCGCAACTTGCGATGCGACTTGGACTTGGATCTGGACTTGGCACTGGCGTTGGGAGCAGTACCGTCGTCCTCTTCCTGTTGCTCGTGGCCATCTTCGACGTCCTTGTTCTTGTCGGGAGCAGATGGGCGCCAAGTGTCACATGAGCTCGGAAGCTCGGCGACCCGCGGCGGCGGCGGAGTGCTTGTCGCGGATGCAGTCGAGGTCAATCGCGAGGCTGCAGACGGCGCCGACTGCATCGGGCTCGGCGCGGCGTTGGTACCGTGCCCATCAGCTGCGACCGGGTTGGCGACGTCAAGCCTCGGGGTGGAGCTTGAGCCATCGACAAGCGCGCTTTTTGAGGCGACGGCGGAAGCCTGGGTCTTGGCAGCGGCACGTGCGCGGCGAGACATTGCGCGCGGCGACATCCGGTCAGCCGGCTCGGCAGGCAGGGAGTTGCGAGTGACGACAACGTCGCCAAGACGCTGGTACTGGTACACGACGAGATCAGTGTCCGGAGCCACGTGAGTGGTTGGCAGCTCGAGCTGGAAGAGCGCAACGCTGGACATGCCGAGGAGCTCGGAAGCGAGGTCCGAGTGGAAGAAGACGCCACCCGGCAGGTGATGCTCCCAAGAGGCACAGAGCGGAAAGGTGACCGAGAGCAGCGGCTCAAAGCCCGAGCCGGCGGCACCAAAGAGAAAGACCCAAAGGCGAGCGAGGTCGGTGATGACCGGGCCCGAGAGCGAGACGTGGCCAAGACCGTCGGTCGACGAGACGATGGGCCCAAAGGTGGCCGCCATGGACAGGCTGTGGGTCTCGTTCTCGATGCGAGAAAAGTGAGTGACGACGTCGACGACCTGGGCCGGCTTGTAGCACGCGACCGAGATCCATCCGAGCCCCCAGTCGATGATCGAGCCGCCGCCGCGGCGGGCAAGCGTGGGCGCGTGGTTGTGAAAGGCGCGAATTCGGGCAGCGGCGTTGTAGGTGTCCGAGACTAGGGCGGCGAGGGCGGCGCGCGCCATGATGCGGATGATGCCGACGGTGCCCGACGGGGCGGCGGAAGTGTTTGGGTAGACGACGGCCTGCGGAGAGTAGAGGGTGCCGAGGACAGCCGAGGCCTCGTCGAGCGTTGGGCGCTCATTGGGGTTGGGCAGCCACAGGGCCTCGATGATGGGCTTGAGCTGGGCGAGGGCGAGCGGGACGTCGTCGAGGTCAGGCCGGCGGCCATGGACAACCTCGAGGGCGACAGCGAGCGGATTCTCGCCAGGATATAGGTCGCCACGGGTGGCAAGCTCCCAGAGGGTGAGGGCAAGCGAGTACGCGTCCGACGCTGATGAGAGAGCGGCGGCGCCCTGGACAAGGACCTCGGGTGCGGTCCAGAACAGAGTACCGATGTTTTGGCCCAGCAGGCCGTCCTTTGTCCGCAGGCCAAATGTATAGTGGCTCGAGTGGAGGGCAAATGCCCACGAGTCAAGAGCCGCAGGCGAACCAGCGTCATCAAACTCGGCGGCCGAGACGCGGTTGTTGAATCGGACTCTCGGCGCACTGTCAGGCGTGTCTGAGGTGATGTCGTCGTCGTCGGTGGCATCAGGCTTGATGGTACCGGCGAGGGCGGCGGCGCGACGGGCGTCTTTCTTCACCGACGACATGCCAAAGTCACAGAGCTTGGGTACCCACGACGAGTCGAAGAGAACGTTGAGCGACTTAAAGTCGCCGTGGATGACGCCTGCGTGCGAGAGGTACTGCAGGCCCATGGTGATGGCGTGGGCCCACTTGAGGACAATGGACGGGTCGAGGAAGAGGTCGGGCGCGTGGAGGACGGCGTACATGGAGCCGCGACTCATAAACTCGGTGACGATGGCGGGTGGCTCGAGGGTGACGCCCATAAAGATGACGACGTTGGGGTGGCGGAGGCGCATGAGCATGGACGACTCGTCGATAAACTCACGGAGCTGACGCGCGTTCATGTCCGCGGTCCGGGTCCGCTTGACAGCCACCGGCGTGGCGCGCCAGCGGCCGGCGTATACGGTGCCGTACGAGCCCTCGCCAACGACTTGACCAACAAGGAGCTCTCGCGGGTTGATGACCAAGTCCGAGTCGGACTGCAGCTTGTAGGTGACGGCCTTGCGGCGGTAGATGACAAAACCAATGGAGATGAGACCGATGCAGCAGACGACAACAAGCGGGAGGACGATGGCGAGGAGAAGGGCGGCGTTCGAGTCTGCCACCTCGACCGGAGTGACGATGTCGTAAGTGGCGGTGGCGGTGTCGGAGCGTCGGAGGTCGTCGCGGATGGCAAAGGCCTGTACCACGTGCTGGCCAGGGCGGAGGAGGGCGATCGGCCCGGTGTAAACGAGCGAGGCCTCGGACGGGACCGAGCCGTCAATGGTGTAGTAGATGGTGGCACCGGTGTTAAGCCGCGTGAGCGAGACGGTGATGGGCCCGGTGTACGAGCCAGTCGACGGCGTAATGGTGGGAATTGTGGCGCGTCGAAGGACTTCGGCTTGGCGGATGGCCTCGAGGACTGGAATGCGTGCCGAGACGAGGGCGTCGGCCTGGGCCTGCGACGAGATGACGTGGAGGGCAAACATAAAGTCCTGCCACTCGGTGACGAGCTCACCGTAGCCAAAGCCGGTCATGGCCGACCGCCCGTAAGCATTGGACGACGCGGCCATGACCTCGAAAGCGATGCGAGTCCGGTTGGCGGCAATGGCGTTGCGGAGCGAGTAGTGGGCCGGAATGGTGCCCGCATGTGTGGAAATGAGCGCCTCCTGGACAGAGCGCTTGGCCATGTAGCGGAGGACGTTCTTGGCAGTGTCTGGGAAGAGCGAGCGTGTGGGAATGCCAAAGGCCATGTATGTGCCGAGCCCACCGTCAGTGGCAGGGCCCGGCGAGACAGTTGCGCCGGGGCCATCGTAGATGGCGGGAAAGGCAAACGCGTCGAGGTCGTCCTCAGCGAGGCCATTGGCAACGGCGACACTGGCGACTGATTCAAAGCCGCAGTAGACGGCGATGCGTCCAGACGAGAGTCCCGACGCGTCCCACAGGCGGAGCGGGACTGAGCTGAGGTCGACGACAAAGGCGGAGCGGTGGATGAGCTCGCCAAAGGCTGAGAGCGAGGAGAGGATACGCGGGTCGGTGAAGGAGATGTTCGCGGCGAGAAAGGCGTCGTAGAACTCGTTGCCGTGCATGCGGATGAAGAGGTAGTCCAGAATGACGCCCGGCGGGAGGTACGGGAGATCGATGCCGAGACAGCCACGGCCCGAGATGGAGATGGTGTCGCACATGTCGAGGAAGGCGGACCACGTTGTCGGTGGCGAAAGACCGAGAGCGTAGAAGGTCGGCCGGTGGTAGACGCAAAGCGAAGTGGTGCCCATCGACGGCACGCCATATCGGGTCCCATCGGGGCCCGATGCGAAGCGACGAGCCGATTCGAGCATGTCGCTGTTGAGGTCAGCCTCTTCCCAGATGTCCGAGATGTCGAGAAAGAGGCCGTCGTCTATAAAGCCGCCGAGGTCGGCGCCATTGTAGAGAGGTACAATGTCTGGCGCCCCGTCGGGAGTCAGCCAGAGCTCATACACAGATCTGTCGGGCGAAAAGTCAAAGCGGTGGAGCGAGACCCGCGCATCGCCTCGACTGGCATTGCTTGCCGCGTGGTATGCGTCGAGAAAGGCCTGCGCGCCCATCGTGAGTGCTGATGATGGCGAGGTATAGATCATCATACGAAGGTCGGGGTGGTCCGCCGAAGCTGGGTATGTCGGATGCGCCAGCAAGGCCAGCAACAGGGCCAACGCGAGCCCGAGCCGGGTATAGGTCATGGATGTGAGGGAGGGGAGGGGGTTGCCAGGCGGGAGGTCTGCGCCACGGCTTGCGTGGGCGAGGCGGCGGCGACGGGTGGTGGTGGCGATGAGAGGAGCGGGTGCTGCCTCGGCGAGTCTTGACCCAAGGCGGGAGAAAGCGGGTAAATGGCTTGTCCTGGTGAAGAGCAAAGTTTGTAAATAATATTTGGCGGGGTCAATGCGGCGCCTGTTTGGTGTGTGTTAGCGGAATGGCAAGAGGAGAAGAATGTAGAGGGAAGAGGAGGTTGTGGAGCTTGATGGGCGAGCTAGAAGTGGTGAGTGATGGGTGTGGGAGAAGATTGAGAGGGTTAGTAGTGGAAGGGGGGAGGGGAGAGAGTAGGAGATTGTGGTATTGACAGATAGTGGCATTTTGAAAATTTGTAACATGTGTACCGTAATTCGCGGTGGTGGAGGCTATTGCGGGGGGCGGGCGGGGCGGGCGGGTTGGGTGGGTTGGGTGGGTTGGGAGGGGTTGGGGGGGGGGGGGGGGGGACCTGAGCAACAGTGGCACAGGTACAACACACATACACACACACGTGTCTCTGGCTGTGGTGTAGGGATGGGGCAGCATGGACGTGGGCGGCGGAAGCAGGCGCTCAAGGCGCAGGGGACAGGGGCTGTGCGTGCGGAGGAGTACCATGCGCGTATGGCCAAGTTTGCTGGCGAGCTGAAGGAGGAGCTGGAGCGTGCGGTGCAGAAGAAGAAGCTCCGTGCGACGGTCAAGGTGGCCATCCGGGAAATGGTGGTGTACTTTGTGTTTCTTACAGTCTTCTCGTTTGTGGTCCTCGGAGCGCGTGACCCGCTGTACTCGTTCCAGTACAATGAGTTTATGAAGGACTTGTTTCTCGCCGAGGAGTTCCCCGAGCCGGACATCTACAAGACCTTTTATGATGTGGCGACGTTTGAAGAGTTCTGGGAGTTTATGCATGATGTCTTTGTACCGGCGCTGTTTGCGGATCAGGGCGGCTTTGGTGAGGGCTACATCTACGGACAGAACGTTCTAGTCGGCGCTGTCCGTTTGAGGCAAGTCCGCGTCTCGCGTGGTCACTGCCAGCCGGAAGGGCCTTTTGGCCGAGTCATCACCTCAAACGAGTGCTTTGCCCGCTACTCGCGGAGCCTCGGCGATACGGCGAGGTTTGGCCCCGAGCAGCAGTTTGTGTACTCGTCGGCCAAGGAGCTGGACACGGTGCCGCAGCTGGCGCGGCTGCAGCTGTTTGAGGGCGGCGGGTACGTCGAGTACTTTCCGGCCTCGCTACAGCAGGACGAGCATGCGCAGCACATGCGGGATTTGGAGAACGGGACGTTTGTGGACTTGCAGACACGGGCGCTGTTCATCGACTTTACGACGTACAACACCAACGTCAACCTGTTCCACGTCGCGCAGCTGACGTTTGAGTTTCTGCCGTCGGGCGGCGTCTTTCCCTCGGCCACGTTTCGGGTCATGCGGCTGTACAAGTACAACAACGACGTGTCGGGCACCATCCAGTTTGTGCTCGAGATGATCCTCATCATCATGGTGCTCGGGTACTTTGTTGAGGAGGTGTGGGAGCTGTATGACACCGGGTGCTGGGAGTATTGGCACAATCTGTGGAACGTCATCGACTGGATCAATCTCCTCCTCTTCCTCGCAGCCTTTTGCGTTCGCATTGCCCTGGTAGCCACGTTTGAGAAGATGAACCTCGATCCGCGGGCGACGACGCGGTTCTACAACTTTCAGACGCTCGTCCTCCTCAACTCGGCAGAGAACAACATCCTGGCGTCGAACGCGTTTATCCTCTGGTTCAAGGTCTACAAGTACACCAAGTTTTTCCCGCCGATGCGGACGGTGTCGGACACGATTGCGCGGTCGATCCAGAACACGATTGGTTTTGTGGCCGTCGTCATGTTTGTCCTCTTTGGCTTTGCGCAAGCTGGTGTCCTGGCCTTTGGCTCGGACGTGGAAGACTTCCGGTCGTTCATCGACACCTTTTACACGCTCCTCCGCCTCCTGCTCGGCGACTTTGACTTTGAGACCATGCAGTACTCGAACCGAGTCTTTGGCCCGCTCTACTTTCTGTTCTTTATGGTTGTCGTCTTCTTTGTCATGCTCTCCATGTTCCTCGCCATCCTCAACGACTCGTACCTGCAGGTCCAAGCCGAGAACAAGGCCCGGTCCGAGAAGGAGCTCAACGTGGTGGAGGCCTTCCGCGACTGGGTCAACGCCCGCACCGCTTTTCTCCGCAAGCGGCAGGAACGCATCCGCGACTTTTCCGAGAACATTCGCACCGCCGACGCCAACGCCGACGCCGTCCTCGATCTCGACGAGCTCCGCCAGGTCTTCAACATGTACGAGGACGAGGCCCGCGAGCTGCTTGGGGTCAACTCGGCCGAGGAGTTGCTAGCTCGCTTTGACGTCGACGGCAACTCGGTCCTCGACGCTGAGGAGCAGGCCCGCCTCGTCCGCGCCATCGAGCAGTGGAACTCGCGCGCCCAGGCCGAGACCGACCAAATTGTCGAACTCAACGAGGACATCGACGACCCGACCGTGGCCGGCGTCGACCGGCAGATCGCGCTCTACATGGCCGCCCTCAAGCAGGACATGCGGGTCTTTGCCCGTCTCGAGACCACCGTCGAGCGCAACTTGCTCGCCCTTCTCGACGCCTCGGGCATCGGCCGCGACGCCTACCTCAACGAGATGGGCACGACCTCGTACTCGAGCGAAGACTAAAGTGCAGGCTACCAGCCGTGGGTGAGCCAAGGCTTGACGCTCGGATCGGCATCGAGTCCGGGCCATGGCTCGTCAGCATCGAGCTCAGATGCGGTGAGCTGCGAGTGGTCAGTCCCGACAAACGCCGGTGGCCAGTACTGATCGAGGTAGACGCCAAGGAGCTTGGAAAAGTGCGGATCGCCCGCGGGCGAGGCAGTTGTCCCGTGCGACGGCGCGTATGTGTGTGACGAGAGGATACAGCACGGCTCGTCGTCACGGGTATGGCAGGCTTTGACGCACGCGTTCCATGCTGTCCCATACGTCGGGAGCGAGATGAGGCCCGGATGGAAGGCGCACCGCGCTGGCGACGAAGACTCGGTCTCGCCGCATCGGGTGCATGTCCGCAGCGAGGAGGGGTGAGGGACCGGTGACGGTGGGAGCGGTCGCGGCGACGTGAGCGAGTCGTCGCTGAGCGCCATGCTAGGGCTTGACGCCGCCGAGAGGTAGCTCTCGAAATCGGAGTGAGGCTCCAAGACGTCGTGGTCGTCACCACTGTCATCGCCGTCCCGCCCGACAGTGGACGTGGACGGCGAGAGGAGCAGGACGTCGTTGATGATGTCGAGCTGTTGGCCCATGTTGGACAGTTCGTTGCCAACCTCGGCCCGCAGCCGGCCGATCTCGCGCAAGACTGCGTCCTCCAGCTTGTTGCTGTTGCTGCAGGCAGCGACCTTTGCCCGCCGCCGCCGCGAGCTCTTGACCCGGGTCCGTTTTGGACGACCCCGCGAGGAGCGTCGCCGGGCCGAAGCCGCTGCAGAGCGTGTGGTCGTGGTCGTCACCGTGTCGCCCGACTCGGTCACGGTCACAGTCTCTGTGCCTGCACGAGAGCCGTCGGCATGGCGGGCATGATGGCCACGATCACTCCAGCAGCCGGAATGGTCGTAGCCGCACGTAGCAGGAGCAGGAGCAGGCGGAGGCACCGGCACCGGGACAGGTACAGGTGTGGCTGTAGCCAGAGCCGGGGCTGATCCACGTTGAACAACGACGACGTTCCGGGTAGACAAGCCGGGACGGAGAGAGGGCCGAGCAGAGACAACGGGCGGCGGCGATGACGGATGAGGAGGGTGCGGCGAGTGGCGACGATGGAGCGGATGCAGCAGGTGGTGTCTGCCGGCGATCCTGCAACCTGTCCAGACAGGGGCACTGGCATCGGACGGGCGTGGTGTGGGACGGGCGGGAGGAGTAGGTGCGGTGGTGGCTGGGGAGCGGGCTACGGGCATGAAGGGTGTCGAGCGGAGGCGGGTGTGGAGGGGGTGGGGAGCAGCCCCCGGGAGGAGGCGCTGGGTCATGGTGAGGGGGTGGGGTGGTGGTGGTGGTGGTGGTGGTGGTGGTGGTGGTGGTGGTGGTGGTGGGCGACGGGCAACGGGCAGGCTCTGGGCAGGCACAGAGGCAGGGGAGGGGGGTTGAGGGATTTAGTAGAAGGCGGTAGTGTGGAGGATGGAGGTCCGCTCACGCTTCTGGAACTTGTTGAGGACCGACTCGAGATCGTCCTCGAGGTCGTCGATGTTCTCGATCTCGTTGATGAGCTTGAGGGTGACCTGGCCACCGAGGGTGGCGGCCTCCGAGTTATCGACGGTCTCGATGTTGATGACCTGGACCGGGTCCATAGTCTGCGAGCCGCGCTCGAGCAGGTCGGTGAGGACGGCCTCAAAAACGCGGTTTTCAAAGCAGACAACGACGTCAACCTGGACGTCGGCATCGGCGTGGTTGGCGTGCTGCCACTTCTCGGGCATGGTCTTGGTGTCGATGTTGCGCTCGAGCATGGCGAGCATGCCGTTGCGGCGGTAGAGCTCCTCGTCCTTGGAGAGGAGGTCCTCGTACACGTCCTTGTACGTGGCGGTGCCGTACTCGTAGCAGTTGGGCTTGTCGCGCGACGGGCCCGGGATCTTGATCTGCGAGCCGGTGCCAAAGGACGAGACGTTAAAGCCCTTCTTCTGCAGCACGTAGTGGGCCTCCATGGAACGGTTCATGTTGGAGGCACAGACCATGGTGTAGCGGTACTTTTGCTTCTTGCGCTGCGAGGCCTCGCGGGCCTCGCGCTCGGCAGCAGCCTCGCGCCGCTTCTCCAGCATCGACGCCATCTGGGCCTTGCGCTCAGCGGCAGCCTTGCGGGCGGCCTCGCGCTTGGCCTCCTGCTCGCGCAGCTGCTCCTCGCGACGGGCGGCGGCCTCTGCGGCGGCGGCGGCCTCGGCCTCTGCGGCGCGGCGTGCAGCCTCTGCGGCGGCGGCCTTGGCGGCGGCTTCTGCGGCGGCGCGGGCGGCGGCCTCGGCAGCCTTGGCCTCCTCTGCGGCGGCAGCGAGGCGGGCCTCCTCCTCCTTGCGCTTGCGGGCCTTCTCGGCCTGCGCGGCGCGCCAGGACCGGATGGCTTCGGCCTTGTCGGCGGCGCGACGGGCCTTGTCGGCCTTGCGCGACTCAACGGCAGAAGTCGACGCCTCGCCACCGAGCTTCTTGCGGCGCTTGCGAGCGTCGACGTCGAGGAGCGGCTCGCGGACCTCCCACGGCGAGACGCGGTCGTAGTCGGCGCCATCGGCCGGAGGGTCAAACTCCCCGGTCTCCTCGTTGTACCAGATGACCTGCAGGCACTCCCAGCAGGTGACCGATGGGAGCTTGGCGTGGATGCGGCCAAGGTACCAGGTGTCGTCGAACTTTTGCTCAACCTCGTCGTCCTTCAGCCACGCAGTGTGGATCGACGACTCGTACAGGGCGTAGGGAATGATAAAGTCCGGCTCTGACGCATTCCTATCCAGCGAGATCATCAACCGGTTGGCCTCCTCCCCTCCGCCCGTCACATAGTCATCGTCGTCCGGATGGATGTCCAGCACCACCTGGGTGTGATTCTCCGCCACCGAGGTGATGGCTACCACTGTCGCATGCACCATGTCGAGTTTGCGCAGGCCATTCTGTGTGCATGGGTATGTGTGTGTTAGTATGTATGTATGTATGTATGTGTGTGTATGTATGTGTGTGTGTGTGTGTATGTATGTATGCATGTATGTGTGTGTGTGTGTGTATGTGTGTGGCATGGGTGCGTCAAGTCGCCTTGGGTTGTGGCGGGGGAGGGAGACGGGGGGGGGGATGGGCATGGTGGCAGCGGGAGAAGTACTGGGCAGGGGAGTGTATAAACAAGGACAGGGGGTGGACGGGGTAGAGGAGCAGGTGTGGGGCAGGTATGGGTATGTGTGCGGTATGTGTGAGGCACAGGGTAGAGGTGGGAAGGGCAGGGCAGGGGGGAGGGGGCGGAGGGTGTACCTTTGTGTCGGCGGCAAAGTGGTCGGTGTGCTTGGCATGGCCCTCCTGGATGTACACCACTTCAAGGCCAGGACGGAGCTTGGGGAAGAGGTCTCCGTCAGGTGCAAAGACCTCATCACGGCCCCCGTTGCCGTCTTGGTTGTTCTCGCGCTTCCGCTTCTTGTTGTCCATTCTGTGGGGTGTGTGCAGCGCACAGAGAGGAAGGGAGAGAGAGAGAGAGGGGTGCCGCCTAGTGGTAGTGGTAGCGGTCGGGCGGAGTGGCAGGCGGTGGCTGGCAGGCTGACTGCTCGGTCATCCACACTGGAGCAGTGGTATGGGTCTGATGGCTTTTCATGGCTTTCATGGTGGGGGTTAGTTCGTGGGGAGGGGGAGGGCGGCTTAGCCGCGCTTGGTTGAGGCGACCGATGGGCGACGCGAGACAGAGCCGCGGCGACCGGGCATGGTGCGGAGGGCGCGGGCGCCGGGCGCAACCGAATGGCGACGGCCCTGGGAGCGCATGCCCGGCGGGAGAGCCGATGGGGCCGTCGGCTTGGGCGCGCGCTCTTCCTCGGCGGCAGCACTGTCCTCCTCCTCATCACGGACGACGGCGACGCCATCGAGGCGCTTAAGGCGCGGCAGGCGCTCCAGAGCCATGGCGCGATAGTCGGCTCCGTCCTCGGTCAGCTTGGCCTCGAGCGGGTTGCCGAGGAATTCCAGATCCTCCAGCTCGGGAAGCTCGATGAGGTACTCAAACTGCGACCAGTCCTTGACCTTGTTGTAGCGGATGTACAGCTGCTTGATCTTCTTGCACAGCCGGATGCCCACCAGCCGCTCGATCGAGTTGTACGAGATCCACAGATTCTGCAGCGTGCCTGAAATCGGCTCGAGATTCTCCAGTTTCTTGATGTTGTTCCGCGAGAGCGAGAGCGTCACAATGTTGTGCAAGCCGGACAAGTGCGAGATCTTCTCGATCGCGTTGGTCGACAGCGCCAGATGCTTGACCGCCGTCAGCGTCGACAGGTTCGAGTCCATCGCACGAATAGGTGGCAGCTGCATGTACAGCTTGACCACCTCGGCGTCCGACGCCGACACCCCATGCTTCTTCTCCTACTCACGCCAACTCGCGGTTAGTCGTCGTTCACACCCTCGCAGCCTCCCACCCCCGCCCCCTGCCCACCCCCACACCATCACGTACCCACAGCATGATCGCCTGCTTGATTGTGGTATACTGCTTGCGCGACGATGCCTGTTACCCCACACGCGCAGCCCCCAAGGAGAGCGAGTACCGCCACCACGACCAGGTCCACAACCCAGACAAAGACCACGACGCCGCCAGAGCCACCAAACACCACACCAAGCACCACCCACCAACAGTCATGTGAGTACCACCTACCGTCCCCTCCCTCCCCCCCTGACCACTGCTTCCCCTTCCCCTCCCCCTTCCACGCCTTGGCGCCCAACGGCTGTCACCAAA